AGTTTGAAGTTCCTAGGCCTTAGTTCTTTAGTTATTGATAGGAAACCGTTTTTGCTTACAAGGTCAATGTGACCTTGACCTTTGACCCCAAAATCAATTAGGGGTCATCTACTGGTCATGACCAATCACCATACCAAGTTTGAAAAGTTCCTAGGCCTTAAGGTTCTTTTAGTTATTTGATCGGAAACCGTTTTTGCTTACAAGGTCAATGTGACCTTGACCTTTGACCCCTTGACCCCAAAATCAATAGGGGTCTCATCTTACTGATCATGACCAATCACCATACCAAGTTGAAGTTCCTAGGCCTTAAAGTTCTTTAGTTATTGATCGGAAACTGTTATTGCTTACAAGGTCAATGGCGACCTTGACCTTTGACCCCTTGACCCCAAAATCAATAGGGGTCATCTACTGATCATGAACAATCACCATACCAAGTTTGAAGTTCCTAGGCCTTAGTTCTTTAGTTATTTGATCGGAAACCGTTTTTGCTTACAAGTGTCAATGTGACCTTGACCTTTGAACCCCTTGACCCCAAAATCAATAGGGGTCATCTACTGGTCATGACCAATCACCATACCAAGTTTGAAGTTCCTAGGCCTTAAGGTTCTTTAGTTATTGATAGGAAACCGTTTTTTGCTTACAAGGTCAATGTGACCTTGACCCCTTACCCCAAAATCAATAGGGGTCATCTACTGGTCATGACCAATCACCATACCAAGTTTTGAAGTTCCTAGGCCTTAAGGTTCTTTAGTTATTTGATCGGAAAACCGTTTTTGCTTACAAGGTCAATGTGACCTTGACCTTTGACCCCTTGACCCCAAAATCAATAGGGGTCATCTACTGGTCATGAACAATCACCATACCAAGTTTGAAGTTCCTAGGCCTTAAGGTTCTTTAGTTATTGATTTGAAACGGTTTTGCTTACAAGGTCAATGTGACCTTGACCCTTTGACCCTTGACCCAAAATCAATAGGGCGTCATCTACTGGTCATGACCAATCACCATACCAAGTTTGAAGTTCCTTAGCCTTAAGGTTCTTTAGTTATTGAATCGAAACCGTTTTTGCTTGGACAACAATTTGATCCTTGACCTTTGACCCCTTGACCCCAAAATCAATAGGTAGGTTCATCTACTGGTCATGACAATCACCATACAAAGTTTGAAGTTCCTAGGCCTTAAGGTTCTTTAGTTATTGACGGAAACCTTTTTTGCTTACAAGGTCAATGTGACCTTGACCTTTGACCCCTTGACCCAAAAATCAATTAGGGTCATCTACTGGTCATGACCAATCACCATACCAAGCTTGAAGTTCCTAGGCCTTAAGGTTCTTTAGTTATTGATCGGAAACCGTTTTTAATTACAAGGTCAATGTGACCTTGACCTTTGACCCCTTGACCCCAAAATCAATAGGGGTCATCTACTGGTCATGACCAATCACCATACCAAGTTTGAAGTTCCTAGGCCTAAGGGTTCTTTAGTTATCACTCGGAAACCATTTGGTCTACGGACCGACGGACCAACAAGTGCAAAGCAATATACCCCCTTTTCTTCGAAATGGGGGCATAATAAGAACAGTAAACTGTTAAAATGAGTAAATTTTCAATGACACGCCTATAGTGAAACGCTAACATTCAGCGCTTTAACGCTATGTTTCTATATAGCGCTAAATGACGTCACGTCAAAGTGTTATTACACTGAGTGTAATATCGTTTTTATTAAATAGAGGATATTTGTTTAGTTCAGTGTAAGATCGGAATATATTTCACCGAGTGAGCACCAAAAGGTATATTTCACGAGTGGCGCAGCCACGAGTGAAATATGAACTTTTGGTGTTCACAAGGTGAAATATATTTCGATCTTACACTAAACTAAACAAATTTTCTTTTTATTGTATGCAAAGAAACGTTTTAAAAAGACATTAAACCTAATACTGAATTAAAAGCGCGGCAAATAATAATACAGCGTGACGTCATTTACGACGTCACGTCATTAAGTTGGTACCAAGTTCTGTGCACGCTGGTATTTCACTGAAACAACGTAAGGGGCTTAAATTCAAAACAGTGAAATTATCAAAGTGGTAATTTCACTGTTTCAAACAGTGAAATTACCAGTTTTATATCACTGATATATTTCTATAAACCACCGAAAAGCATGTAATAAATGGCTTTATTACACTCCTGCGACATGGTTTATGTGAAATGTGCACACAAATAAACTAGCTGTGCTTTATATGATTAAAACTTTTGTCATGGTGAGAAAGGGATTAGAGATTCTAGGAGCTGTTTTTATGGGCACAATTCAAAGCTTAAATTCAGTTCATTCAGTATAAATTTTACTTAAAGTGTTTGCAACACAAGTGTTATCTGTAAGATTTAAACTTTTGAAGTGTATACACAAGAGCTGTCACGGGAGACAGCGAAGTTCAATTTATTAAATACTGGACGCACTAAGGAAGACAAAACTATGAAAGAAAAATCAATTATGATAAATGTATTTCTTTATCAGTATCAAGAAAGCACTCAAATGTTCTATATTTTTGCGCAACATAATATGCGCAACATTATCTTGTCAATAAATGTTAAACAGACATTTCTATGCTTTAATGGAAAAGACAGCAATTTGAAATCTGAAGTCAATCCCTTCAAAAACAAAAAGGATAAGAGCAAAAAGAATTTGAAGTTTTAAAGTAAATTTATAAGTTCAAAAAGAAATACCGGGGTAACTCTTGAAAAAAAAATGCTACAGGTAAGAACCTTGTCATGCATGATGTGAGTAATGACAAAGAACAATTATTTATCTTAAGCCTAGAGTAGATACCATTTATAATAGCAAAGATAATCTAAAAAATCAATTTAAAAATGAATTCTAAGATCAACAAGAGGGCCATGATGGCCCTGAAATCGCTCACCTGTATATAGGCCCCTGGGCCAATGCCAATTTTAAACCAGTGACTTTTATTTGAACACACTTTGTAGACAGCCATTAGAAGATGTTTCATGCTTAATATCTAAGCTCTAGCTATTTGGGGTTTTTAAAAAGAGATTAAAGTTTTTACTATATACAAATAAGGAAAATCAATGACCCCTCGGGGCGGGGCCAATTTTGACCCCTGGGCATTGATTTGAACAAACTTGGAAGACACTGACTAGGTGATGTTTCATGCCAAATATTTAAGCTCTAGCTCTTGTGGTTTTTTAAAAGAAGATATTTTAAGATTTTACTATAAACAAATAAGGAAAATCAATGACCCCCTGGGCAGGCCAATTTTTACCCCAAGGCATTTATTTGAACAAACTTGGTAGACACCCACTAGAAGATGTTTCATGCTTAATATTTAAGCTCTAGCTATTTGGGTTTTTTAAAAGAAGATTTTTTAAGTTGTTACTATATACAAAATGGAAAATCAATGACCCCTCGGGGCCGGGCCAATTTTGACCCAAGGGCATTTATTTGAACAAATTTGGTAGACACTGACTAGGTGATGTTTCATGCCAAATATTTTAGCTCTAGCTCTTGCGGTTTTCTAAAAGAAGTCACTATTTTAAGTTTTTTTCTGTTGGTTGCCATGGCAACCAGAGTTCTGCTTGGAATAAAGTTCTTTGAACAATTTTTAAAGTTGACAACAAAAGGAACATTCCTGTGAAGTTTGGATGAAATTGGCTAAGTGGTTTTTGAGGAGATGTCGTTTAAAGTAAAAGTTTACGGACGGACGGACGACGGACGAAAAGCGATCACAAAAGCATGTCACTTTGTAACAGGTTAGCTAAAAAATTAAATTGATATAATTCTGGGAATACAGGGGCTTGCATTTTATAACTCTGACAAGAAGTTAATATATAAAAAAAATACATTTGTTAACATAAATTCAAGTTCAAGGGGGAATAATTCAGGAAATAGTCACATTAGAGTTATGAACCTTGTCACACAGCATGTGTGTAATGATAAGAAATATATATTTGAAGTTTGAAGTAGATACCTTGAAAAATATAATATTTCTAAAAGAAAACTCTTAGTTCAAAGGGTGATCAACATAAAAAAATTACTTCAAGAGTAATGAACCTTGTCACATAAGATGTAATTGATGATAAGGAATAAGTATTTGAAGTTTGAGGTAGATACCTTTAAAACTAAAGAAGTTATAGTAAAAAATAACATATTTCAAGTAAAAAAAAAATCTAAGTTTATGGGGAGATAATTCTTGCAATATTGGTGCCAGAGTTATGAACCTTGTCACATAAGGTGTGGTTAATAATAAGGAACATATATTTGAAGCATGACGTTGATCCCTTCCCAAATAAATAAAGAAGTAACAAGAGCTGTCACAGGAGACAGCGAAGCTCGACTGATAAAATAATGGATGCAGTAAGAAAGACAAAACTATGATCAAAGAAAAATCAATTATGTATAAAAATGATTAAGTTATAGTAAAAAAAAAATAACATTTGTTAACATATATTCTAAGTTCAAGGGAGAATAATTCTGGAAATAGTCACAATAGAGTTATGGACTTTGTCACACATCATGTGTGAAATAATAAGAAATATATATTTGGAGTATGATGTAGATACCTTAAAAAGTAAAGAAGTTATAAAATTCTAAGTTCAAAGGGAGATTAATCTGAATATATTGCTTCAATAGTTATGAACCTTTTTACATAGGACCTGGTTGATTATAAGGAATATGTTTTTGAAGTTTGAGGTAGATACCTTTAAAACTAAAGAAGTTATAGTAAAAAATAACATTTTCAAGTAGAAAATCTAAGTAATTTGGAAGATATTTCTTGCAATATTGGTGCTAGAGTTATGAATTTTGTCACATAAGATGTGGTTGATGATAAGGAATGTATATTTTAAGTATGAAGTTGATCCCTTAAGAAATAAAGAAGTGACAGTAAGATTTTTTAAGGATTGTTCTAAGTTCAAGAGGAGATAAATCTAAAATATTGGTGCTAGAGTTATGAACCTTGTCACATAAGATGTGGTTAATGATAAGAGACATATACTTGAAGTATGAAGTTCATCCCTTAAGAAATAAAGAAGTAACAGTTAAAAATAATATTTTTAAGGAAAATTCTAAGTTCAAGGGGAGATAAGTCTGTATACATTGGTGCTACAGTTATGAACCTTTCACATAAGATGTGGTTGATGATAAGGAACATATATTTGAAGTTTGAAGCTCATACCTGAAGACATGAACAAGTTATAGTGAAAAATATTTTACTGCATCAAAATTTTAATCTGAAATCTGGACATGGATACAGACGTCGACGCTGGGGCGAGTAGGACAGCTTTCCATATTTTTAGTAGAGCTAAAAATCAATGTTGCAGTACAAGGAAGTCAATTTTGGTATCAAATTCAATGAATCTAATAATGACAGGAAATGTGTACAATTAACATTTCATCTGAGGAAGATACCGTGAACGATTTATAACTTGTGAATTTTTTTAGAGGATTATATAAAGGTACAATATCTTTTAATTATCCTTAAATAAAACCATGCATTAATTACATTTAAAGGGACTCCACTGAGGTTTTTTTGACATGACAGGACTGGAAATAATTTATTTAGATTATTACTCCATTTGATGTAGATCTATACTAATAACGTATGTGCAAAATTTCAAATCATTAGCTCCCTCCGTTTTTCCAGAATAATTATTATAATAGTGAAAAATTACCCAAAATTGAAAAGCGTTTAAACGCTTTTCACTCAAATCGGACTGAGAAAAGCACAAACATATGATTTTCAATGTATTTCTTGTATATTTCTTGGTTATATTTTATTAAATTTCTGTTTTAAGTGCTCATGTTTATCCATGTGAAAAATTAAAATTTTATGTTTTTAGGCTTATGAACCTCAGTGGAGTTCCTTTAAAATGACATAAAGTTTTTAGTTTTATGGTTTATGGTGTAATTTAAAATAATGATATTTAAACAAGATAAATATTGCCTTATTATGTCCATTGAGGCATTTCGATCACTGATAGAAATATGAAAGGGAGATAATTTAACAATGACCTTTGGGATCATTTGTCCTTTATAAAGCATTCTAAGTTTTATAGTGACCAAGTATTCCAAGCTAAAAATATGTATCTTTGATAGTATTTGAGAAATTAACCTAAATAAAAAGGTAAATTTGAGCAAGAAAACCCCCTACATTTTACAAAATGTACATTTTTTTTAAGTCTTAAACGAAATAAGAGGGCCATGATTGCCCTGAAATCGGTCACCTGTATATAGGCCCCAGGGTTGGGCCAATTTAAACCCAAGGGCTTTTATTTGAACAAACTTGGTAGACACCCATTAGAGGATGTTTCATGATAAATATCTAAGCTCTATCTCTATGGGTTTTTTTTATAAGAAGATTTTTTAAAGTTTTTACTATATACATATAGGGAAAAACAATGATATCCCCTGGGCGGGGCCAATTTTGACCCAAGGGCTTTTATTTGAACAAACTTGGTAGACTCTCACTAGAAAATATTTCATGCTTAGTATCTAAACTCTAGCTCTTTGGGTTTTTTAAAACAAGATTTTTTAAGTTTTTACTATACACATATAAGGAAAATGAATGAACAACGGGCGGGGCCAAATTTAATCCAAGGGCCCTTTTTATTTGTTATTTGAACAAACTTGGTAGACACCCATTAGAAGATGTTTCATGCTATTTATCTTAGCTCTAGAACTTTGGGTTTTTTAAAAGAAGATTTTTCAAGTTTTTACTATATACATATAGGGAAAAACAATGACCCCTTGGGCGGAGCCAATTTTTACCCCAGGGATTTTATTTGAACAAACTTGGTAGACATCCAATGGAAGATGTTTCATGCTTAATATCTAAGCTCTAGCCATTTGGGTTTTTTACAAGAAGATTTTATATATAAGTTTTTACTATATACAAATAAGAGAAAACCAATGACTCCCCCCCCCCCCCCGGGCGTGGCCAATTTTGAACCCAGGGCATTTATTTGAACAAAATTAGTAGACACTCACTAAATGATGTTTGATGCCAAATATTTATGCTCTTGCTTTTTTGGTTTTCTATAAGAAGATTTTTTAAAGTTTTTTTGGGGGGTTGCCATGGCAACCAGACTTCTGCATGGAATTAAATTATTTGAACAATTTTTAAAGTTGACTACCGAAGGAACATTCCTGTGAAGTTTGGATGAAAATGGCTGGAGATGTCGTTTAAAGACAGACGAAAAGCGATCACAACAGCTCACCATGTCACTTAGTGACAGGGGAGCTAAAATGACTTAATTTTTAAAATAACTAGACAAATTTTTTCTAACTACAGTGTTTTGAATCGCTTTATTTACAACAGGTATTAAAACTTTTTATCATAAAAGCCATAAACTCAAGATCTTCAAAGAAAACTTTATGTTAAACTTTCCACTATGATTAATCTAGCTTAATTTGTCAAGGAACATATTATATATACATGTATTGATATAAAGTACCATGTATCAATAGACTACAAATGTGTCAATATCATACAGATACCCGCATTCAACATTTTTACTTCCAATGTTTGGACATCATGAAAAGATTAAATTTTAAGCAAGACAAGATTTGACCTATGACCTCCATTTAGACCTTGTTTTTATAATTGCCCTGGTGGGTTTTGTGTTGGGCATAGTTTGACTTATATTTAAACGTCCATCAAATTAGGACCAATTTATAGGCTGTACAGGATTTGACATTGACCTTAAAGTCAGCCTTAACTTTGAAGGTGTGGACGTGGGTCTTTCACAACATCGTCAGCCTATGGTGATCATGTTTGTCAATGTATTACGAAATCCCATGATGCATGTCTACAAGATATGATTGATATATATTCCCTGACCATTTCTTCACAAAAGATATAAGTACAGTTAGTAAAATATTGTCCAAGTTTTAAATTATCTGCTTAAGTTCTACAAATTCACAAAAGGAAAATAAGACAAACATAAAATAACAAGAGGGCCATGATGGCCCTGAAGTCGCTCACCTGTATATAGGCCCCCGCAGCGGGGTCAGTTTAAACCCAAAGGGCTTTTATTTGAACAAACTTGGTAGACACCAATTAGAAGATGTTTCATGCTAAACATCTAAGCTCTATCTCCTTGGGTTTTTTAAAAGAAGATTTTTTTAAAAAGTTTTTACTATACACATACAGGTAAAAACAATGACACCCCTGGGGCGGGCCAGTTTTGACACCAGGGCTTTTATTTGAACAAATTTTGTCGACACTTAATAAAAGATGTTTCATGCTTAATATCTAACTTCTAGCTATTTAGGTTTTCTCAAAGAAAATTTTTAAGTTTTTGCTATAGACATATAAGAAAAATCAATGTCCCCCGGGCCGGGCCAATTTTGACCCCAGGGCTACGGACGAAAAGCGATCACAAAAGCTCACCCTGTCACTTTGTGACAGGTGAGCTAAAACATTTATAATACATTTCAGATAAAACATGGCTGTCTCAGGAAAAAAAGCATTAAAACAATTTTCATCTACAACACAATCCATTGCATCAGATGAAGATCTTCAAGTTTACTGTCAACCTTGTGACGAGGAAGGATCCAGAATTCCTGCCCATGGTTACTGCGTAGATTGCAAGGAACATTTATGCAAGAATTGTTTCACAGGCCATAAAAAGCATAAACTTTCCAAACATCATACACTTCTAGATGCAACAAGAATGCCTAAAGTTCTGCATCAAACCACATCATCCACCCACACTGGCCAGTCTGATGATCTTACCACACCCTGTTCCAAACACCCGAAAGAAATTATCAAGTTCTACTGTCACCACCATAAAGAATTACTCTGCAGTGTTTGTGTTACCCTTGAACACCAAGCTACATTCTGCAAAGTCAACTATATACCCAATAGTTCTGGTAATATAATAGACAGCAAAGAATGTCAAGATATTTTGAAAGCAGTAAATAGCACTTCTGACCAGTATCAGCAGTTTGTGGAAGATGCCAAAAAGATGACAAATAAGTCCAACAGCTCTCTTAAAGATGCACTAGCAGACATTAAAATGTTCCGGCAAGAAATCAACCAAAGACTTGATGAACTGGAAAGGCAGATTGAAGATGCAGCTAATGTCATACAAAAAGAAAACAACAAACATCTGAAAGCAGTAGAAGAAACATGTGAAGATATAACCAAAGCTCTGAAAACATCATCAGATACCATTAAACGACTCAATACATCAAAACAAGCTCATAAACTCTTCATGGAACTTAAACTTGCAGAGAAAACAATGAAAAATGTCGAGGGAAAGAAACTACAACTTTCATCATATGATATCAAAGAATTTAACTTTAAAACAAATGATGCAATATTAGATCTTCTTAAAACAGAGAAGTCTTTGGGTACATTTAAACAAAAAACTTTAAAGATAAAATATCCATCTGTACAAATAAAGTGTCGAAAATCTTCACATCAGGGAGATATCTGTGTGAAGACATCAATAGATAAATGCAGGTGCTATATAGCAGGAATGACTTTGCTGACTCCTGATCTTCTTATCATCACGGACCATGATAACAAAGCTGTAAAGATGGTGGATATCAGCAGACAATCGGTGTCATATCAAATAAAACTAGATGATAAACCATGGGATATCACCACAGTAACCAGTACTGAACTTGCTGTCACACTTCCTTACAACCAAACAATACAGTTTATATCAATCTCATCAAACAAACTTATAAAGAAGCACACTATGAAAGTGAATGGAGACTGTTATAGTATAAGCTGTTACCAAGATAAACTTGTTGTGACATACTGTTTCCCTGTAAAACTGCAGATCCTTGATATGAATGGCACTATGCTGACAACAATTGATGATAGAAATATTTTCAAAGACCTATATTATGTAACATGTAATAGAAGTTCTATCTATGTATCTGACAGTGAGATGAAATCAGTAACAAGATTAAACTGGCAGGGTGATGTGATTGGGAGTTATAGTTGTACAAGTGAGCCAAGAGGAATATCACTGTCAGATGATGGTACTGTCTTTGTGTGTGGCTTGGAGAGAAATGTTATAGAAGAGATATCAGAAGACTGCTCTACAGGAAAGGTTGTACTGCAGGATGTGATTCGTCCATTTGGTGTATGTTGGTCTGAGGAAACAAAGAAGTTGTATTTCAGTTGTTACAGTTCAACTTTTGATAAAAATTATGACTTCATTTACATGCATAAACTGTCATAAACTTGGACACAGATGAATCAATACAATATCAACAGTTCTTAAAATGTGTAGTAAAATATCTGGAAATTTATTTTTCTACAAAAACTTGATAGGCTTACTATAAACCACAATAAAAATATATTGCTCTGGTTGTATCAATTGAATCTGTTGCTGGTTAAAAAGATAAAGAAAGAAAAACATAAACTGAATTTCAATATAATAATAATATGGCTTTATTATCATCAACAACAATAACAAGGAAATCATACATAGATCATGAAGGAATACGCTGTCGAGTATTTGAATCAAATTGTAATATTTGATAATCATTACAACATAATTCAAAGTGATATATAACTTTTTTATTTTACATTAGTATATTGTTATTAAACTGAAATTGTACGAAACATAAATGAAGAATAAATAAACATGTAGCCGTTACAGTACAGTATATGGATGGGGAGGAACCAACACACAGAACAACAGCAAAAAGACAGGAAGTGTATATAAATTTGTACATAATCATTTATTTCATAATAAAATGTTTAACACATAGTACATGAATATATTTTTTTAATTTCTTATAATAAAAACTGAAAGTTAATTACATCATAATTAACTCACTGAGATAATTATTACTTGCATGAACTTAATCCACGTAAAAACAGTCCTTGCAGTTTAAATGACAACTTTTAGCAGTTATTTTTCTTACAGATCAAGGACAATGGTTTCATTATGTTACAGACAATAATTTTATTGTATTGCTAGGAAAGCAATAATCTTAAAATGTGTTGCTAAGAGTGACAATTATTTTATTTGCAATCAAAAGAGACAATAATTCTATTTCAATGCTTTGAGAGACAATAGTTTCATTGTATTGCTAGGAGAGCAACAATAATGTGTTGCTAAGGGAGACTATTTTATTTGCATTAAAAAACAATTATTTTATTGTGTTTCTAAGAGAGTCAAGGTTTGTGCAACAATCATATGGCGACATTATAGCACAATCATATGGCGATATGGTAGATGGAGATCACATGAAAGAATCAAATGTCCCTGGTGGGACTTGAACCCACAGCAGTGAGGGGCAAGTGGCTTCAAGTCAAGGGCCTTTACCATTTGGTCATACTGTGTTGCTAAGAAAGCAATAATTTTATTGTTTTGTTAAGGACGTACGTCATTTTTATTTGCAATTAAGAGAGACAATAATTATATTGTGTTGCTAGAAAAGAAATAATTTTAATGTGTTGATAGACAATTATTATGATAGACAATTATTTTATTTTCAATCAAGAGAAAAATAATTCTAAAAATGATTGTGTTTCTAAGAGACCTTTTTATTGTCGCACTAACACTGTTAAGGTCATACTATAGCGACTTTCTAGAAAGACACCAGGCACCCCTCTGTGCATTATTTCAGGTGCAAGCGAGCACCTGGGTAGAATTACCGACCTTCAATAAGTTAGCTATATAGCTTCCTCACATGAAAAGTATGTTCAAAAATTCAAAGTCCCTGACAGGATTCGAAACTACAGAGATGAGGGGCAAGTGGTTTGAAGTAAACTACATAAACCACTCATTCACTGACGCAACTCGTCTAAGAGACGATTATTAAAACTTTCTTCCTAAGTGATGTTAAGACAGACACTAAATCTATTGTGTTGCTAATAAAGCAAAAAATTATTACATTTATGTGATGCTAGGAAAGACAATTATTTTTGTTCAGTTGCTAAGTAAGATAACTTAAATACTATACCTCAAAGGGAGACAATGATTTATTTTTATTGTTGAGACAGAAAATATTTGGTATATATTGTCAAGAAAGACAACTATTTTCTTTCGCAATTATTTATGTTTACAATGGAGAATTAATTTTTCTCCTTTTTGTCAAGGGAGATAATAATTTATCAGAAAAATTGAAATTACTTCAAGCGGATAATGCAGCATCTAAATACAGAAATAGATTAGAATCTATATAACTTTTGAATGATTAAAGTTACCCTTAATAGATTAATGTCACTGTCTATAATCCTTGGTACAAGATCAAGTGTATCCAAAAAAAATTTTGTTTTGGACAATTTTAAGAGACAAAAAAACAAAACAAAAAATATATAAAAAAAAATGCTAAAAATTTGTGACACACAAAACATAAAATTTACTTAGAGCCAAGTTAGAGTAATAATAAATGCAAATGAATCATATAACAAACAGAAAAAAAAATCAATATAAAGCATGACAGAACAAAAACCAGGGGCCGTTTTATCAACGCTCTACGACATGTCGTAGGCTAGTTTTTGTCGCAGACATGTCCGCAGAAAAGCGTTAAAACGTTTTATTGAACGTTTGTCGTAGCTACGGACGTCGTAGAAAATGTCGCAGCTCTAACGACAGGGTTGGGGCTGTCGTACGACGTTTCTGTGACGTCAAGACTGGCGATCACTGTTTACATGTATAACATTGCTCAGCAAACATTATTTTTATTAAATAACTTTTTCAGAATAAAAAGAAAACATATTTCAATTGTTTTTTTGTTTTTCCTTTTAATGTCAAGCGCTTATATAAGGGCATTATACATGCGCTCTAAGTATAAGAAAGAGACAGAAATATAAAAAATCTTATACCCTATAAAAAATGTCTAAAATATCGTTCATTTGAAGCAAATATGCCCTTACGGTCATACTCTATTCTATAAATAATGAGTTCCGAAGATTTCTTCGGAAAATAGAATAAAAATAAAATTTACTCACATCTTTTTTGAATTTCACATTTGGAAAAAATCATAATATTTTTACTAAATTTTACATAAATTTAGATATTTCTTTGAAGAAAACCCATATGGTATAAAATAAAGGACACCGGAAAGTTTACCGTGGTCATGAAATCCGGAAAAAAACAATTTTTAAAAAAGAAAAAATAGTCAATAGAATATAAAAAAAAAGTTTAAAAAGACAAGGCGACATTAGCCAAAAGTTACCGTGGATGAAAAAGCACCAATATTTAAATTGTCAAATTTTATGATAAACTGCAAATATACAGTGTAGATATAATAATTCATTCTGCACAATTTGCATTGTGTATTAATTATGCATTTAATTCTCAAAAAAAATATAGATTCCGAACTGTAACTACGTAATTTTGCAATCCCGGGGTGGGGAGTTATTTAGTTATACTACAACTAACATGAGATATACATGTACGTATATATATCTATAAGTAGCCTGGGGATTTGATATATTTTTTGCCTATTCATAACTTACGCGCTATTTTTTTTATACTCGATATACTCATAGATAACACTACATCTCTGGTTTTGATAGTATCAATATATGAGCTGTGTCACGAACAAAAACCAACATAATGGGTTTGCGACCAGCATGGATCCAGACCAGCCTGCGCATCCGCGCAGTCTGATCAGGATCCATGCTGTTCGCTGTCAGTTTCTCTACTTGTTATAGAGTTGTAAGCGAACAGCATGGATCCTGATCAGACTGCGCGGATGCAAACGCAGTTATTTGGTTTGTGTCGTGACGCGGCTCATATGTCGTTTTGCCGACAAAGAAGCACATAAAAAATCGACAGACTGGAACATGAGAAAAATGAATCCGCTTTCCGAAAAAAAGTAGTATCGCAACAACAACAAAAACAACAACAAAAAAGCTACATTTTTAAAAGTGAAATATTTCATATAAATTACAAGTTGGAACAAAACAAAAACAGCGTGTTACGTTTCAATTAAAAAGCAGTGCTACTTAATATTACCTTTACGAAAATATGTCAAAACAGCAATTCATTATTTTCGATTCTTTAGCAATAGTAAATATATAAGATTAATTATATATATTTATTTCAAACAACGAGAATGAAAAGAACTAGTTAGAAATCTTGTGTGTATTGAATTCCTCGTAAAATTGGTAAAAGTGTGCGCCACACGTTATACTAGAAACATTGGGTGGTCATTTAAGTAATTTATATGTACAAATAATTGGTTTTATCAATGAATAGCTAATACTTTAAACATAAATTTTGGCGTTTTCTTTAAAAAAGCAGCTACAATTGTTTCTAACGCGCAAAAATCCTTTCATAAAGGCCTTAAAGCCATAGAAATGCTTTTTATCTTTTTTAAAGCTTTTTATTTATATATATATTTTTACTTTTTTTTTTTTTATTTTTATTCCATTATCATTAACCTGAACTATCGTTTGCCTTCTGTTTAATTTATGCCAAATCGAGTACGGTGTTTAATGATTTAGTAATTTGTTATGAAAAGTCAAAATTTTGCTACAATAACAATTTTTTTAATACTTTCACATTCACCACTACTTTCTTTAGAAATATAGGCAAAACAAAAATATGTAAGTCTGCACAAACTGCATGATATAATAATTATGTATTTCAATTCTTTTTAAGACTTGAAAAAAATATAGTATCCGAACTGTATTTACAAAGCCGGGAGTAGGGGATTATTTAGAATACTACATGAAATATATGTATAATACCTATAAATAATTAATATCATTCCGAAAAAAAAACACTAACAAACAAATATACATGACACTTTAAAGTGAAATATTTCATTAAGATTTACAAATTGGAACAGAATACAAAACAGCGTGTTCCCCGTTTCAATTAAAAAAAGCAAAAAAACAACAAACAAAAAAACAAAACAGCAATTTATTATTTCGATGCCTTGGCAATGGTATATCTATAATATACATGTATATTATATGTTTTTGTTTCAAACAATGAGAAAGACAAGCCTTAGGGACTAGTTAGTCGCTTGTTCTTATATTCGAGTGTGTACCGTACTTCTCGGAAAATACTATAAAAATGGCTATACTCGAATGCTTTCGACAATAATAATTCCAGGGTTTTTTTGTTTTGGTTTTTTTTAAATTTTTTATAATACTGTGGGTAGCTTGTATAGTCACGGGTACTCTGCACCTTATCTCGTTAAAATCAGTTGAAGAAACAGCAAAAAAGTTTGAAAAAATGTGCGTGTTCCTTAACGTGGTATAAAACTAACTTTCAATTCCGTATTAACTCCGAGGTTATTATAGATAATAGGCCGTGACGTTCCGATTTATCCGCCAAACGATATACTTGAAAAGTCCGGTGCTATTTAAAAATGACAGTTAGCTTTTAATTAACTAATTAAAGTACTATAAACATACTTTTTGGCGTTTCTTAAAAAATGCTTTTGATTTTTTAGTTTTCTATTTTTTAATTTCTAAAAAGTGGCTGATCGGTCGTACCGTCGTTTGCGTATGTTAATTTTTATTAAGTTGTGATTAGTTATTTTAAATTAGTATTTTGTTTAAAAGTCAAATACAACTTTGTTGACATTTTTGGTTAGTAATTTTACATTCACCGCTTCAAGTCATAAGCGGCTGCATGCTTTAAGACAGTGCAGAAAATATAATATGCTGTATTTCTCACTAAAATGTTCTTTGAATGACATTAAAATATTTATCCGTTTTATAATAATCATGTCAATTTATCCGTTTGATAATAGTCATGTAAATTTACAATCAATACTTTAAGTACTTTGATTTCATATGTGACGTCCAAAGCGCGCAACTGGCTAGACTGTGTCTCGCGTAAATTTTGTCTACGACGT